GAGATGAAAATTAATAGGGAATTTCAAAAATCTCATTTTTAAAATACAATGCTACATTGTTTAAAACTCGATATATACTAATAGCTTATTTTTTCTTTTGAATATAAAGGGTATACAATTTATATTTTTACAAAATTAAAAAAAAAATCTAAACAATAATATGTGAAGCTAAAGAATCATAAATGTGCGCAAAACATTTAAAACAATTATTTTTGAGCAAATTAAGAGTAGCTAAATCCTATGAGGTAGCGCTCTAACCCTAGGGAAGCTTTAGCTCTCACATAGTAAATAAAACTACGGTTCGATTCAGCTCGGCTATAGAAAATATTAGGCTCGTATGTAACATTGTAGAGAGAAATAAAGTTTTAATTCGATTTGGTCTTTTTTGTAAAAATTACGGAGTTAATGGTAGGGTTCTCGCTCTATTGTAGTGAATGTTTTTGTGTTCCCGTGACACTTCTCATTCTCATGATATTTCGTACCAACATGTATTTCTTGTGCTTGTCTAACTCTAACCATTGCTTTGATTTCATCGATCCACCACTTTTAACTAGAAATGAATTAATTTTTTTTTGTCAAATCCTGATAAGTTTTAAATCATCGCCATATATAAAAGATTAGAGTACTTTATATGATCTCAAAATGCATAAGACATAATTCAAAGTATATATTACGAATACATTTAGTAGATCTTACAGTTCAAATCACACCAACTCACAGAAGAGTATTGTTACCTTGACTTGACGGAAGAAACTCGAATTAATGAGAATAAGAAAGAGTTAATTGGAAGAAGAGCTTTCTTCCTCAACTAACACTTTTTGACAAACTTTTTGGGATCATTCTTTTTCATATGGACATGAAGAGATAAAAATGTTGTTCCGATGAGATGACCTTCACCATAATTGAATCTCAAAAGATTCTTTGCATGAGCTGATTCACATGAGAACATGTGTTTTTTATGGCGCAAGCATCACTGCACAAATATTATTTTAAAAGAATAAAAAATCATGTACCTACAAAACAAAGGCTCGATATATCCAAATTTGAATCCAACAAACTAAAAGAGAAAGCAATAAAAAGGAAAACTATGAAAAGTTAAAAACCATACCATTTTTTGGGAAGACAGGCCACGCTGAAGATCGGTAACAGTGTTGGAGTCACGAAAGTTGAGAAGAGAGAATACAGAGGGGAGACTTGAGATAGAAAGAAGTAAAACCTAATTTTACTTTGAACAAAGACCTATTCTGAGAAATCTAGGACGAATGACATATCTTGGTTCAGAGGCCTCTCCAATCCCCTTCCCATTGAAGTCTCATTGAACTCTCCCAAGTTATCAATGAAATATCACTTGCAATAAGCATTTGCTGGGAATAAATCACAATGGGAAGCACATATAAGACACATAACGCATTATAGAAAAGATCCATGCAATCGTTTGCCAATTAGGATAACACAGGACATTAATACATAAAGCATTTTTTTTTGGCTTGTTTGATAATAAACTCGGATTACATCAGTAAGCTTGATGGAAAACATATGTAGCTATGCAACTATTTGCCAATTAGGATTAAAAAAAAATGTAACAAAAAACATAAGACTAGAAGAGCTTACACAATAAAAAAAAAATGCCAATTACAATGTTCATTGTGTTGTTCTCTTCATGGCTATCATCTTCTTTTCTTTTTGTGGCGTTGGGTCTTCTTATCCTGATTTTTTAATAATTAAATTTTATACAGACAATAAAAATTAAACTACACAAATAAACATGGCATATCAAACGGTATATGATAGAAAACAAAAATCGAACTCTATGATCTAAACAACATGCGTGACGGTGGAGAAGGGATTCAATAGTTATTGTGGGGGTTGAATCTCACAGACTAAGTAATTTTTTAGGGTTTGTAAAGTTCTATAGAAAGCCACCAAACGCAAAGATTTCAAGAGAGATTTTTATTAAGTTGTTAGAAATATGTTTCACAATACAAGCGTTTGTCAAATGAATTCTCGATCTCCTTTTTGGGTGAGTACAATGAGATATATATAGGATTTCTAGGTAAGATGGGTCAGCTAATAAAATTAGCTTGGTCCATTAAGCAATATATCTAATTTATGCTCATTATTCCATTAAGCTCATTTTGCTTATGGTTTAACATCATTTTGGGCCTAGATTCAGACTGGGCATTTGTAGACTTGCTTTGATTTCGTCAAGACGTTGTGGAGTTGATCTCGTCGCCATATCGATCACATAGGGGGTGAAATCCGACCCGTACAGTTACCCCCCAGCTTGGCAGTATCGGGTTATGATGATGCCGATGTAAAAGTTGCTGAAGTTTGAGATCGATGTGTTGGACTGCGAAGTTGCCAAGCATGGACGTCTTATCACCGAACTCGGGAAGTTTCCGTTATTCCACGTTGAGCCGATGTCTGCGTGTTTTCTTGGGCTTGTTTTTTTCTTTGTCATAGAAGATTGAGGAGGTTGACGATCTTTTGTGTTAGCGGGCTTTGAGGCCTGCTGAAAAATGATTTCAGGAAATTCTCCGAGAATAAATCTGTTTTCTTAGAGTTATTTTCTATCAATTCGCTTTTTCCTAAGTAAAAGGTAAAAAATCCTCTCTCCTTCTGCTTTTTTATTTTATTATTATTTTTTATAAGTTTTTGATTATATTTTTTCGTTCTTCGTCTTCAAACGAGCCGCCGCCGACTTCTTCTCCATCTTGGACAATCCTCAACTTCTGACGGAAGCTTAATCGCGGCAGAGGCAAGACAGGCAAATCCGATGAGTCCTCCGGTAGGCGCGACGGTTCGAGATCTGGCTTGCTTCTCAACGGGGCAGCGTTTGTGGACTGCGAGGCGAGGCGGCAGGGAGATCGGCGTCTTAAACGGTGATTCGAAATCTGGTCGAGTTGACTCGGTCGCCAAGTCAACTCGGTCGCTGAGTCAACTCGGTTACTAATTTTTTTTATTTTTAACACGATGACTCAGCGACTCGGTGACGGTTCGGCGACTCAGTGGCTTGACGACTCAGCGATTCCACGATTCAATGCCTCGGGGACTTCGTGACTTGACGACTCAGCGGTTCGACGGCTCAATGACTTGGTGACAGCTAGCCTCGTAGAGTGAAGCTGACTCATATCGTTGCTCTTTGGTGCAGTGGATAGGTGAATCGAAACAAAACTTTTCCGATTCCATGGACTCGCAGCTTGATTGTCTGCGTGGCAAAGACAGCATTGAGACTATTTCAGACTTAGATGATTCCGGAAAGATGATCGGTGAACCTCTGCTTCTTGGAAGGAAAATGTTTTTTTTTTCAGAGTCTGACACTGGTAGTTCTACGAGACCGGTCTCCTCCAATACTTTACTCACGGTCGAAGAGGTTAGGGATGTCGAGGCGACGACGTCGAGATGGCGAAGAAAGGTGGCGGTGCGACGACAAGGCGATGATGTGCCGGCAAGGCGTAGAAACGTTGGCGAAGCCGATTCGTGAGCCGAAGAAATGTTGCATCTCGCCGATGCGCGAGCCGAGGAAATATTGGCGAAGTCGATGCATTAACCGAGGTGAGGTGATGGCAAAGCAAGATTGATAAAGGTGACGACAACGGCGAGACGAAATTTGATCGACGCGACGGCGACGGCGAGGCGAAGCTTTATCGATGCGATGACGAGGTAAAACTTGATCGATGCGACGACGAGGCGAAGCTTGATCGATTCGACAACGAGGCTAAGCTTGATCGATGCGACGACGAGGCAAAGTTTGCTCGACGCGACGATGAGGCGAAGTTTGATCGATGCGACGACGAGGCAAAGGTTAATCGACGCGATGGTGAGGCGAAACTTGATCGATGTGACGGCAAAGCAAAGCTTGATCGATGCAACGGCGAAGCGAAGTCAGTGAAGGTGACGCGACGGCACGACGAATGGACGACGCGATGAGGCAAAAATGTGACGAGGCGACGATGAGGCATTGTTTTGACGAGTTCATTTTGATATCAAGGCGATCTTGCTGAAGTCCGGAGTAATATTGAGTTCGTAAAGTTGTTTCAGACAAGGCGTCCGATCTTGTAGAAGAGCTTGTTGACCTTGAGAAGTAGGAGGTGGTCATATCACTCGCAGATGAGGTGTTTGCTAAGCATGTGCGTGAACTTGAAGGGATCCTTAGGGATTCACCTGTGAGCATGACCGATGATCGAGTTGAGAGATTGGACACTGATGCCGTTGAAGAGGAGGCTGACACGGATTTAAGTTCTTTTTATTCATCAAGCGATGATGATTTGTCAAACTCTGCGGTGGCGATTCCTTCTAAGCAAGCTGCGAGATTGTCGACGACGTCAAAGAGACCGCGCCTTAGTTGTTTGATTTTTATGTATGCATTTTGTCGTACTTTTGATTTTAGACTTAATATATGATTCAGCGTGGATGATGTTTTTTCTTTTGTTCAGATTTATCGTTATTTTTGTCTTGCGTTATTTGAGATAGCGATTTGAGGCATGTTGTCGTTAATTGGTTCGTTTTCAAAGATAAACTATATTGTTGTTGGGACTAGCGATAAGTTAGCTAGGTTTTCAGATGATCGTTTCGGTTGACACGCGAGTCTGCGTCGATGCGTCTGCTCCGAGAACGACCACGTTATTGCGTAATGACCGACATTTAAGTTGTTGGGTTTTCTGATGAACTTCTTGGTTTACGGGCGAGCCTCCGTCGACGAGTCTGCTCCGAGAATGAACATGTAATTGCATAATGACCAACGATTTAAGTTGTTGGGTTTTTTAGATGAACATTCTAGTTTACGAATATGTTCCCATGAACAGTTTCGCTCCAGCGATGAACACAAGATTTTGACCAAGTCGGGTCCTAGGTTTTTTGCTGAACATTCTGGTTTACGAATATGTTCCCGTGAATAAGTCTACTCCAACAATGAACACAATTTATATAGCGCACTTTAATCCGCTGGAGATGTAGATAGTTCGTCATTGTGGCCAACAGCAGCGAGATAACAAAGAGAAAAAATCTATTTTAGAGAAGACTTTGGATCAATATGCAAGTGAACACTTGGCTTTTGATAGTTAATTTTTGATAAGTTTGCAAGTAAAC